TTCATATGAATGTAGATGGATTCGGAGCCCCAAGTCAACATGATAGATAGATAGATTTATTTTACACAAAGGTAGGATATCACGAAAAAGCACCAAAAAGACTTGTGGTATCCGGAGACATCTCATGATAGCCTAAACTAAAAAGTTTCAAAAGAATTGCTCTATAAGACATACATTGTAAGAGAAAACATAAGTGTGATACATTTTAAGAGAAAGAATAATAAACATAAAAATTATTGAAAGCCTAGATGATCTCTTAACATACGCTTAAATACAGATAACGAAGACGGACATGCTAAAACCGAAGTAAGTTCATTCCATTCCTTTGAGCCACGTGGAACCGGATGCAAATTTTAGCTTGAGACGAGGAATGAAAACGCTATTATTATGACCCAATCGAGAACTCTGACGCGTAGATAGTGGTGAGATCAAATCAAAAGATGAGAGGTAGAGTTCACACCCACGCAGTTTCTGACAAAAATTGAATTTGGTTCTATATCTGGTTTAGATTTTACGAGCATTTTACTGTATACATGTAATACAGCTATTATCGATTTTTTTTTTAAAACTATGTTTCTCGTACAAGGATCAGCTGCTAAGTGTGATACATTTTAAGAGAAAGAATAATAAACATAAAAATTATTGAAAGCCTAGATGATCTCTTAACATACGCTTAAATACAGATAACGACATGAAGAGTTGTACAAAACCTGATATATGAATCGAAAATCATGGATTCAAGATACTTACATTCTAAAATATAGAACCATTGTTTTTCTATCTATCGTCTTATTATTTGTAAAAACAAAAATTACTTTACACGTTATATGTTTATGCAATTACAAAACAAGACAGTTATATAAAACAGGTCTAAATTATGTTGTATCATAGCTATGCCGAACTAACAAACGAAATATATTTTGAAACGCTTTCTAACGCGATATCTGATTGATTTATTAATTTATTCAAGTTATTTTGACGGGAGTGAGTGTTTGTCTGTAACACACGGAAAAAATGGGTTTTCATTTAGCAGTGTTGCGATAGGTGTCACTAAAATGTGTCTTTTTCTTACTATAGCATGCGAGATGAATGCTCGATTAAAAAACCATAGAACGAAAAATATGTTCATGAATGAAGGATAATTAATATCCTATGGCTGTTGCTCAAAATATAATAACACTTACGAAAGGCTATGAGACCAGATGAGTATTGTTTTTTTTCAACAAGAAAACGCTTTGAATTTAAAAAGAAAACGATTTGAAACGTCTTACTGATGCGCTTCCGGAGGTAACTATTTTCCCGAAACGAAAAACTCCAGTGCAGTGATATAAGCTGTTTCTTACGCAGACGATAAAGAAAAAAAGACTAAAATATTGGCATTTTGTTGTATCTTTTTTTTGAAACATAAATATAAGTGACATTTATGAATGAGAATTTGCTTTTTGAAAAGTAAGTTTTTGTATTTTTATCCCAGCTTTTGAACGAAAGATCATGTACAGCGTGAAAACATCTCAAAATGTTCAGCACACTTTCTCTTCACTTTAAGACGTTGCAGAGGTCAGGATCTGCTCTCGTTCGAAAACTATGAACGAAACAAAATACAGAAAAAACGTTACGGAAGGGCATTGCAGTAGCAGAGTTACCTAATAATAATAATAATGTCTCATGGGCTTATCGCCCGTTAGGGGCTAACCATTGTTTTGATCAGTTTTTTCCACTGGTTCCTGTCCTGCGCTAAGTGGAACAGATCCTGAGGGTTGCGATTGCACCATTCAATGATGTCGTCTAGCCATTCCTTGCATGGTCGTCCCCTCCTGGATTTCCCATCTATCCTCGAGAGTACTATGTGTTTTAGTAGTCTGTTGTCGTCCATTCTGCAGATGTGGCCGAACAGTCTTAGTTTCCTTTTCCTTATTATTTCTATGATGGTTTCTTGTAGCGCTATTTTGGTTCGAATGTCGGTATTTCGTACCATATCTTGCCAGTGGATTTGCAATATCCTGCGGTAGCACTTCATCTCGAATGCCAGTAGTTTCTTCTTGTCCCCTTCTTTTAAGGTCCATGTTTCTGAAGCGTATAGCGGCACACTGAAGACGCACGTTTTGAGACTTCTCAGCTTGCTGTCTATTTTCAGCTTCTTGCTGTTCCATACATGTTTCAAAGCAGCTAATGCTCCTGTTGCCTTACTAATTCTTCGTTTGATGTCTTCTGAGCAGTTGTTGTCCCAGGTTATCAGGCTCCCAAGATACTCGAATATTTCGACGTTCTCTATAATTTGGCCTGCTATGTGAGCTTGTTTGTCGATGTTTCTATCGCCGACCCCGCAGGCTTGTTCCGTTACCGTGTTCATTAGTCTTTCACGGTAGGCGATGAAGAGGAGTGGTGATAGAGGATCTCCTTGCCTGCTTCCTACATTTGTTTGAAACCATTCACCGATGTCTTTTCCGATTTGAACTGCTGATTGTGCTTTTTCGTAGATATTCTGCAGTAGCATTACTTGGCCAAACCGATTAGCCTCGGTATTTTGTACAAGTGGTTTATTTTGATAAACTTTTCTTATAGATAAAAATAAAATGTCTTTGTACGGTAATAAGCACTTTCAAGAGATCATTTTGAACAATGAATAGTTTTCTATTGATGTTTTATGGATACTGGCAGCGAAGAAAGTTTTAAATCCGCTGGTGATGTTGTTACTAGTATTTCTACGGTAAACTCGACACCAACCGTAACACAGCAAGGACATGAAAATGTTTCGGGACGTTTTAAAGTTATACGTATCGATGAACAAAGTGGCCATGAGGCAAGTAAATTACCAAGCCTATTAAGTTCAAAAATACCATCTCCGACTGAAGGAGAAAATGCAGTTAAATTCATAGAGAATGCTAATGAACAGGAAAAACAAAAATTTGAGATCGAAAAAAGTGGAGTATCAATTCGTTTTAATAATAAGCAGAGTAAATTTGGTATTGAAGGAAGTATAGAAGACACCGAAGGAACAACAGAAAAAGATGATCCAACACTTTTAAAAAATTTATATGATTATAAAGGTGGTACTTTTGAGTTGGGTCGAAAGGAGGAAATGCACACAACGACCAGTGCAAAGTTGAACACATTTTTTGGTGTTTTTTTACCATGTGTACAAAACATTGTTGGTGTAGTCGTTTTTATTCGAATGTATTGGATTGTTGGTGTAGCCGGTGTTATTCAAGGATTGTTTCTTATTGGCTTATGCTGTTTATGTACATTATTAACATCAATTTCAATGTCTGCAAGTAATTTGACGTTCGAGTATTTATTGTGTATATTTTAATAACTAGACTTAATTTTTAACATGTAATATCTCTCTTAACATAGTTGCAACGAATGGGTTTGTACCAGCGGGTGGATCATATTATATGATATCCAGAGCACTTGGAGAAAAATTTGGCGGTAGCGTAGGTATATAAGTTTTTCTATTTCGTAAACTCTAACATTTATTTATTCGTTTCTCATATTGTTCAATTTTAGGTTTATTGTTTTATATTGGAAATGGTCTTGCTGGTGGAATCTATGTCTTAGGAGCTTGTGAAATATTAATCAAATATATTTGTCCTGCCAAGTGTCATGTATGCAATAATTTTCATAATTAGAAAATATAACACTGGCATCTTTCATTTCTTTTAGTTCTTTGGACCACCTATTGAAAATTCAAAAAGCGCATTTAATCATTATCGGATTTATGGTACAGTTATGCTCATTGTGTGTATTTCATTTTATATATTTGTAAAAACTAATATTTCATGTGAATTTTGAATTTTTAGATATTGGGTGTCATTGTTTTTCTGGGGATTAAAATTGTTAGTCGTATTGGTAAGATTTCTTTTTTTCTTTTTCACTAACCCCGGAAAATTAATTTTCGCTAAACGATGAGGCAAATAGCTATCAGATTGATTCATAATTAATTGCGGATTAAATTTCAGATAAAACCGACCACTTTTATTCGTTGTTTTTGAGGTGCCGTCCAGTGGTTCCAAGGGTTCTTTTTAAGGTCAATCGATAGAGAATTGAATTCTCTACAAAACCTGTAATTTTAATCTCTGACAGCATTTTTCCCGTTTAAGCACCATTCAATATTTCGAATGGTACTGAGTTGTCGAACTGCGACACACTGAAAATAGAAAAATATTTGCCTTGGTCCAAAAACAGATTCCATAAGAATTTTGAAAACGTCAGAAGATTCACAAGAAAATTCTGCATATTCTCACGTATTCTTCAAATTTTTGCAGCTCACTTTTCTAAGAAAATTTCTCTATGCAAAAACCTGATAAATCTAAAACAGCCTAACTTCTGAACTTATTCTCACAGACTTTAGTTTTTTGGCTAGAAAAGCAGTAAAATGTTTTGAATTCAGGGCTTTAGTCTTACCACCGTACACAGAATTAAATTCTGCATTTTTTGATATATAAAGAAAGTTTCTCAGTTCAAATCACTAATTAAAACAATTAATTTAATTTGGAAAAAATTGAAAAACCGGTTGAGAACTAATTTTGACTCTAGCTGACGTAGCGAAAACATTGTATGAAGCTGTATATCAGTGAGATCGATAGAGCACAAAATTCTCTATCTTTCTACCTAGAAAAATTAACTATTGAACCTCAGACAATGGGATAAAAATCTCAAAGAAGAAGACATCAAAAGCACGTCGCAGTTCGACAACTCAGTACCATTCGAAATATTGAATGGTGCTTAAACGGGAAAAATGCTGTCAGAGATTAAAATTACAGGTTTTGTAGAGAATTTAATTCTCTATCGATTGACCTTAAAAAGAACCCTTGGAATCACTGGACGGTACCTCAAAAACAACGAATAAAAGTGGCCGGTTTTATCTGAAATTTAATCCGCAATTAATTATGAATCAACCTGATACTCCTCTGAAGGTTAACTCGGATTTCCCAATCTTTGAAAGTGAGGGAGTGTAGAATTTGGTTCTTATATCAGTGAGGAAAATATCTTATTAGAAGAAAATCCTATTTCATCTCTTATGCTGTTGCAAAATCTTTTTTAAAGATCCGATTAATTTAAGGGGGTTACCCTAAGAAAAAAATCTACGTTAAACCAGAAAAGGTAAATGGGATCCGAGCCATGGCTCTTCATGCACCGAGGTTTGTTTCCAAAGGCTATAGCCTTTTAAGCTATTTAAAATGATGGGTCTATCTGCGGAGACTACAAAGGGATTTTGTAGCTGTGTACCCAGGGATAGGAATTATAGTAAATGAGTCAAGAGGTTTACCTTATTTCTAAACTAACTTTAGAAAATGCATGAAACCTACGTCTCGATGGAGTATTTTATTCATTTTCCTAACTTAATGAAAAGAAAGAACCTGTTTAATTTTAAGAATCGGACTCCCTAAGCTTAGATTTGAGGTAGCTCAAAGGTAACTCAGAGTAAGTGCATGCTTATTCACCTATCCTTATGTTCCCGCATAATAGGTAGAAGGATTTAAGCTCTCTAAATATTAACCATAAGCTAAGTCAAACGTTCTGAAGTAGGATTTAGGTTGTTCTCGGGGTGTGACATCCTGATTATAGCAATAACTATGTCGAGAAACGCAATGGTACTAGTAGCATGGTGTCATACTTGTTTGAACAAATCTTTCCTCTCCCATCCTGAATAAGTTGTTTACTTGAAGAATCAGAGCATGTTATTATGCATTTTACAGATGTTCAAATTTAATAAATTTTAGCACCCATCACATTGATATGTGTATTTCTCAGTATATCAGCGATTTTAGTTGGTACATTCAAAAGTGCTATTTCTCCTCCGGATCTTTCTATCTGTATTATTGACATTGAACCAAAACATTTACTTAAATCATCTGTATTGAAAAATAATGTGAAAAAATATTGTATTGTAAATCAAACATGTACTAGTGAAGAAGATTCAGATAAAAATATTACTATGAAAAACTTAACAATTCTTTGTCCATTGTACAAAGTTCTCTGTCACAGTAATAATTTAACTAGTCTTCAATGTAATCATTTGCAACATGTGAAATTAATCAACGGAATACCAGGACTCAAAGATAATCAACTTAAAAATAACTTAGGATCTATTTATCATATTAAAGGAGAAGTTAAGAACGGTGTTATGGGTGATTCAAGTATTGAAGTTGTAGCTACTGGTGTCACGTCATTTCTTATATTAGTTGGCATTTTTTTTCCATCAGTTACTGGTATCATGGCTGGATCAAATCGCAGCGGAGATTTGAAAGATCCAAGTGCATCAATTCCACTAGGTACCATTTCGGCAATTATAACAACGTCACTGATTTATTTTATCATAGCAATACTTCTTGGATGTACAGTACAAGGTATTTTATTACGCGACAAAAATGGTTTGAGTATTGATCAACAATTGGTTGAAGCAATGGTGGCCTGGCCTAGTCCGTATGTGATTCTTGTGGGAGCCTTATGTGCCTGTTTTGGTGCTGCTCTTCAATGTTTAATAGTAAAGTAAAAATTTGGAGGATCATATTGCTATATAATTTTTTTCTATTTTTATTTAGGGAGCTCCCCGTCTGTTACAAGCCGTAGCCAAAGACGGCATTATTCCAATGATTGAACCGTTTCAAACAACATATCGTGGTGAACCACTTTACGCATTATTCTTAACACTTGGTTTATCCGAATTCTCAATATTATTAGGTGATTTTGACGTTGTTACTAGTCTCGTTAGTGAATTTTTTCTCATTTGTTATTTTACCGTGAATTTGGCATGTTTTTTACAAACAATTGTACGTGAACCAAGTTGGCGACCGCGATTTCGTTGTTACCATTGGATTCTATCATTAGTAGGCGCATTATTATGCTTAACTATTATGTTTATTGCATCGTGGTATTTTGCATTGATAACGTGTGTCTTGGCATTATTCATTTATAAATATATTGAGTATACTGGTGCTACAAAAGAATGGGGTGAAGGATTACGGTAAGTAATTTAGAAAATGTCATCTTTTTTAAATAATTTCAATTTCTAACTATTTAGTGGACTTGATTATGTGGCGGCACGTGTGGCACTTCAGCGACTAGATAATCAGCGTCCAACACATACTAAAAATTGGCGTCCACAGATATTGGCATTTATCAAATGTAAATATACCACTAAACATTGGTCGTTCTCACACGAAAAATTTTTGGACATTTTATCTCAACTGAAAGCTGGAAAAGGTTTAATTATGACAGCATCAGTACTCAAAGGACAATTTATAGAAAAACGAGAAATAGGCGAACAATTACAATTTTATTTAAAAGAACAACTTTTAATTCATCGTATTGATGGTTTTATCGATGTATTGATAACTGAGCAAATTTTTGATGGTATTAGTCATTTGATTCAAACAAGTGGTGTAGGTGCATTTCGACCCAATACAGTAGCTTACGGTAATTGAAATTAAAAATTATAAGAAGAGAACAATTTTACATATTTTTTCAGGATGGCCTACATCATGGTCAACATGGCAGAATCATGAAAAAGGACATGATTTGATCGTCAAATTTCTCGATACCATTCGTTTAGCAGAAGAAAAAAAATATGCTGTAATATTATTGAAAAACATAGACGCGTATCCATCATTATTAGAATATCAAAATGGATATATCGACATATGGTGGGTGATCCACGATGGTGGTCTTCTTTTTCTATTAGCATTTTTGTTTCAACAACATGATGTTTGGAAAAAATGTATTTTACGTCTGTTTACCGTATGTAATGGTAAAACACAAAAACCACAAGAAATGAAAGAAAATTTAGAAAAATATGTTTATCAATTACGTATTCATGCACAAGTAAATATTATCGAGATGCCTGATCAAGAAATATCGGCTTACACTTATCAACGTACAATGAAATTAGAAGAACGACAAGATCTATTACAACAATTAAAATTAAATATGAATGATTCAAAAAAGTTGACACCATTCGATAGTCAATTATTACCAGATGATGAAAAACATCTAACAAAATCTGAATTAGAACATAAATTTCCAACAGTTTTTAAAAATTATCCATCGAATGATATTAATTTACATTATACTTATACTCCACATAATATTCAATCAGAACAAGATTTTAAATTAAAATCACCGATGGAAAAATATTCACCAAAAAAATCATCAATCATGGAAAATGCAATTGTAATGAAAAAAATGCATTCAGCTGTACGATTAAATGAAGAAATGAAAAAAGTTTCATCCAATGCAGTATTAGTTTTAATCAATTTACCGTCACTACCAAAAACGACATTATCGGCCGATTATGCATTTATGGAATTTTGTGAGGCATTAACAGACGGTCTATTCAGATGTATGCTAGTGAAAGGAAGCGGAAAAGAAGTAATAACCATTTTTTCTTGATAATTCAATTAATTCTTGATATTTATTTGAATTTTTAGTTAACAGTTTTACTTATCATCACACTTAATCGCTATGTAATGATAATTGTGAAACTTGTATAAAAGTTTTCTTTCAAATATTTTATTTTTTTTCCTCTATCTAACAAATATTTGATATTTAATTTCGTTTTATAAAGTGTAATTCAATGTATATCCACAAATTTTTCAATAAAATTATAGACATAATTAAAACGAATTATTTTTTTGAAATTCAGGGTTTATCAATGATTATTAGGCGTATAAAAGCAACATGTTTTTATTACAATGATAAAAAATATCAGATACAAAAAGCAAAACAGAAAAAAACATACAAAAACATTGAACTCAAAAACATGAAAATACTATTTTATTTCTATTTTTCTATACAATTGATGCTCGAGTGGTATACGAACTTGACACTTTATACCATCCCGAACTCTCATCATCTTGTTTATCATTTCTATTCTGATAATTTAAATGATGTTTTGAATCGTTTAACATCGAATCTAAATATAAAATACCATCTAGTAATGGTGGTGCTTTAGGTAATTTTGTTCTATCCATAAATGATATTGTTGAAACTTTATGTGTATCATCTAATAATGACTGTAATGTTGGAAAATTAGATGTTTTAGGTAATTCTGAAAGAATTGGCTGATTAAAATTGGAATTCTTTTTTGGTAATGTGCCAAATGTTGAACCATTCGTTTCAGGATACAAATTGTCACCATTTGATAATAATTGTCGATTTAAAAATAAATCATCAAGAACATTATTATCAAAGCTAACATTTTTTCGTCTTGAAGATTTTCTTGTTAATGTTGTTAATGCTGAAACGGTGTTTGATTGATGTTGTTGAGAATGTTTTTGTTTTGGTAAAATATGATGTTCCATTATTTCAGATGATGATGTTGAATCATTTAAAATAGGTGGACATAATGATGTTGAATATTCACCTGATGATGGACTATTACCATGATTATTATCCTTGAATAATCGAAAAAAAGAATTAGTTATAATGTGTATGATGTTGTCACCAGATGTTGAAATAAAAAAAAAAAATCGAAGGTCAAAAATTTCTCGATCTGTTCATCATTTTTTTTTTTTTATGAAGGTTCTGTTTTCTTACAATTGATCTAAACATTGTTCAGGATGAATACATTCATCTATAGTTAATAGAGTATATGCCACTTTTCTTGTATATATACGAACAAACAAATATTATGCACGACATTTATAGATAGATAGACAACTATATATACCAATTCTAATTGAATTATTCATTCTGTTTACAACAACAACTACAAATAGAATTATTTTCATGCACAATAAAGGTTAGATTTCGATGGTATAAACACTGATTTATGTCGGTCTATTGATATGTGATGATCAGGGTCTATTCTAACGTATATACTATTGAAGAAAAGTAGTCTCCGTATTTCATCGAACTATAGATCAAAAAAATAAGTACACTACTTTGTATAACTAAGTATGCAGAGATTCAGAGTTCAAATGAGAGAGCCTTTTGTGATTACTTCTATTTCAAGGATCGGGATGAAATAAGATAAAAAGATCTTAAACGTTTTTTTTCATCTTTTAGTACTTTATAGGTTAAAATTCAAGTTTTAAGCGAAAATTCTTCTTTCGGTTGAAAAATTTTGTTTCTACCATGTTCCTCAAAAATAGACTTTTTTCTTTAATTTCGTAGACTGGAAGATATTGCCAGTAAAATATAATGTTTTTTATTGAGATAAAAAGTTTCTTGTCATAGACATCTCTAGTGCAAGTATCTTTATACCACACGATTAAAAACAATATTCACAATGTCTCAGGATAGTTTTTATCAAGAAAAATCTTAGCGACTGCAAAAGAACAGGAGGATAAACATTGTATCCTCAAAAAAGGCTAACATTTTATCTCAATCTTTCTTAACTAATACGTTTTACTATTAAAATAGACCTTGATAATAGCACTAGACGTAATACATTTGAACAAATAAATGACTTCAAAAAAAGAATGAACCTATGAGTTAGTTCATCAAAAGTAGTTTGCTATATTTTTTTAGCTGAAAAAGCTTCTAAAATGTTTGATCAATCGATTATGTTCATTTTAACGTTTCTTTATCACGTACGATATGTGTTCATATCGACAAAAAGCAGAAACTTCCTGTCTATTTCTTGTCAATGCATTTAAACAAACAATTGTTCCATTTATTATACATTGTCTATAAAAACCGGTCAATAATCTATAGAACAGCTGTATAAGTTCCTTGAACTAGTAACCTGTCAAGGTCTAAATAAATACACTTACTTTTCGCTTCATTATAATTGCATAATCATTTGGTGCATCATTTAAGACTGAATTTGGTCTACTTCCATCACCATTTTTTCCACAACAACGTTGTCCTCTAATATTTTGTGATTGTTTTTCCTCATCATTAACAATTAAATGACTACCATATAATGATTTAACATTTTGTGAATAACTAAAACGTTTCCACGCAATACAAATAAGTACAATACATGTTGAACATGCAGCAATTAATGATAGAATAATAATTATTAATAATGATGCTCGAGATAATTGTTTACCGAAATTATAAATAGAAGGATCACGAGCAAATATATTTAAACGTAATAGTTTTCTTGTTTCCAATGGTGGTTGACCATGATCACGAGCCAATAATTCAATTTCATAGGAACCGGGTGTCATTGAAATATTTTTTAACCAAAGTGAATTATTTTCACCAATATAGAATAATTCTTGATCTTCTTGTCGATCCAATATCACATCAACTTTAGCATTATTATCAATATCCGCATCTTGTATAATAATATCGGTAATATATTGACTAGAGATAAATTCTGATGGAGTATGATAAATATTAGACTGTTGGATATTTTCATTGAACAGTACATGTCTAAGTTCGTCAACTTCGGGCCATACAAAGACAGGATAATTGTCATTCAAATCACTATAACAAACAAATAGAAACAGGGTATATATCTTCTTTGTAAAGTTAATAAAAACATGCAACTGGAGAAGGATTGTTCAGTCGATCAAGCATATGTTTAACGAAAGGATACGAGTTAGTTATACTGTTAGTTTTTTTAAAAGTGATACTTCTAGAAACAAAATTGACTGATATATATCATGCTGATCAAATTAGTCTCGACATTCGGATATGCGGGTTTAAAAGTATCATACCGTATTTTATTATCAATTCTAAACAGAAAAGGATGACATATTTTAGAACTATTGAGTAAGAAGAGAATGTAGTTTTTTTGTATTAAAAATATTTTTTTATTCCTAAATATTATTAGCATTATTTATGTATTACTTACTTGATCGTGATTTGAACAAGACTTGAACCAGTAGCTGGTACATTTTTCGCATCATCTGTTGCTAATACGGTTAATTCATATTCGGAACGTTTTTCTCTATCAAATATTGCATTTGTCCATATGATACCGGTTGATTGATTTATCGAAAATAAACTACGATATTTATTATTATCATCTGAGAGTGAATATATTACACGATCACCGTAGTCTAAGTCATGTGCTTTGACTTGTCCCACAAATGTTACATTATTTATTGTTGAATTTTCATTAATTGAAAAATGATAAATTTTTTGTGTAAATTCGGGTACATGTTCATTTACATTTAAAATATTTAGTTGAATTTTAGCAAAAGATTCTAATGATGGTGTACCATGATCTTTTGCTCGTACTTGAAATGTATACAATCGTTGATCTTCATAATTAAAACTATAATTTGTGATAATAATGCCGTCAGTGGATGATATGGAAAATATATTTTTTATACTATCTTCTTTTGATACAATATCATAGGATATTAAACCATTTAAATTATCATCTAGATCGGATGCATGAACTTGTCCAATTGTTGTTGGTGGCCGATTATTTTCATTTATTTCAAATGAATAGCTTGATGAATGGAATAAAGGTTGATTATCATTAACGTCCGTTATATTTAAATAAAATGTCATTGATCGACGAAGTGATGGTGTACCAAAATCACGTGCTTTCAATTCAATTTGATACGAATTATTTATTTCACGATCAAATGATATTTTTGATTTTAATTCATAATAATTTTCTTTTACTATATTCAAGAAAAATTGTTCTGTTTCAACAATTAATTGAGCCTAGAAATAGAATATTCTTTGATTCTATAGGATAACATATAGGAGTGACTATATAAGAGAAAATAAATTTTTCTCTAACTTACTTTTCCATTAACGCCAGAATCTTGATCTCTTACACCAATATAAGCCAATGGTAATGTAATATCGAATGATTCAAATACATAGGCCATGTTACCATCAGTATTATGTAAAATATTTTCAGCAAAATGCATGTCTATTTCAGGTGCATTATCATTTTGACTAGAAAAATAGAAATAATAGATTCTAAACTAGTCTAATGATATTAAGTTCATCTACTTACTCTGTTACAAATACATTTACCATACATATACCCGTTAAATGATTTACACCATGATCAGTTGCTATTACTTTTAATAAATAATGTTTTCGTATTTCATAGTCAAGCCAACGTTTTAATGTTATAATACCATTTAATTTATCAATAGAAAATAAATCATTATAATCATTATCGAGTCTATAATCTAATTCAGCATTTATTCCAATATCAAGATCAAATGCTTTAACACGAATTAAATTTTCTGGAATAGAATTTTCTGATACACTAACATTATAGACATCCGATTCAAATTTTGGTCGACAATCATTTATATCGCTAATGAAAACGAAAAAAAAAAAAAAAACAAATTTATTCTAAAATTTAGAAAATATTTTTCAAAATATTTTTACCTAATTAAAATTGTCAATATTTGTGTTCCAATATTAGATGGTTTTCCACGATCAATGGCAACTAATTTTAATACATATTGTGAAATTTTTTCACGATCTAATTTTTCACTAACAACAAGTTCAAGTTCTCGACTAATATTATCATAATCAATTGAAAATGCTTTTGTTGATGTATTATTTAACCAAAGTAGACGATATTCACTAATACCATATTGTGATGAATCACTATCCGTAGCTGTTTCCAATGGTACACGATGACCACAAATCAATATCGATGAAGGTAAAGAAAACTTTTCACTTTATCTGAATATTTTATATGAAGCTACTTTATTATGGAGAATCACTCGTAAAAATCGTTTTATACCATTGACTGATTAAGAGTTTT